TCACAGTAAGAGTGATTGGGTTTATTTGTCCATGGCACATTTGTCATTTTGAAATCTTCCATCTTCAACTCAAGTTCCTCTGGTCGCTGTGGCCGACTTGAAGAGGGAGTTAGAGGCCTTGCAATACAGGGAGCATAAAAAACTGGCAATTCAAGGACAGATCACATCGGTGCGGTACATGAAAACCCCAAAGACCACAAACTCACAAGACACACCTGAGAAAGAGGTAAATAAAAAAACATTATTTCAAAGCAAGATTTCGTGATTAGTGACCTTTTAAAACTATAAAAAGAATAAACTGGTTTCCTGCAGGTGCCAGATGTTTCAACTGTTGTGTGTGAACCAGACACACACCATCATCCCTCAGCAGCTGAGCAGAGTTTGATGGACACTTCAACATCTCCTTCAGCAATCAGAGGAAAAAGAAGAATTCAGACGAGGTAGGATTTGACCCCTGATGTAAGTTTGATATTAAATATTTTTTTTAGTTCATCAAGCAGAGTTTAAAGCCTGAATTTAATTCAGTAAATGAAATGTGTCATGTGGAAATGTTTTCCAGAAAAGCCACGCAGTCGTCCTTGGATTGTGGTAGCGCTCCAAACAAAAGGTACTGGAGATGCATGTGGTTTTGTTCATCAGTAAACTTATCTCAACCATCCTGAACTCATCTGTCTCTGCTCATACAGAAGAGCCAGACGTCAAAATACAGAGGACGAACAAGAGCAGGAAGAAGACGACAGCGTTTCTGAATCTGAGGTCGCTCAGGATGTGGAGAACAGACTGTCATCGCAAAATCCAAATCAAGGCGAGTTACTGGAGCTACAGCTTCACTGCGTGTACCTTCTGCGATTTGATAGAGAGAGTTACATTTGTGACTTTTTTTGTGTGCATGTTTTCCACCAGACTTTGATGTTTTCTCCTGGGAAAGCAGCAGCTGGCCGACGCAAAGACAAGAAGTGTCTGAGCATTTGTGTCAAGGTGGTCTTTACAAGGACAGCGTCTCTCAGAGGTTCATGTCTGACGCGAAGAACGTCCTCCTGCAGTGGAGTAACCTTCAGCCAACACACTGGACGCCAGGGCAAAACGCTAACACCATCCCACTTGGGGTTTGTCGAGGATATTACCACGTGACGATATTAGGTAAGGCAGCAGTCTACTAGAATGACTCTGATGCACAAGATGACCCCTCAATGAAAAACACATGCTCCTCTTGGTATAAATTCAATTTCACTCTGCGTCAGAACATCCTCCTGCTCCCTAAAATAATACTGAATCATTCTCATGATGCAGGCAGCATCTCTGTCTTATGATTATCTGTCTAAAGAGGAGAACATCTGCTGTCGTAGTCATTTAACACTGACCGTTCATGTTTTCGTTTTATTACATTTATGTCATTCATGAGTCACATTGAGGTTTGAGACCTGCCCTCAGCAGAAACCCAGCTGCGCATTGTCACAATGAGAAAACTCATCTCATCTCTCGAGTCGAGGTTTTGGTTTTGTCCCCTTCTGTTGCTTTGTTTGTTTGTTTGTTTGTCAGCAGGATTGTGCAAAACCTACTCCAAAGATTTCCTTGAAACTTGGTGGAAAGATGGCACATGGGTGAAGAAAAAAAACTGTTCAATTCTAGAGCCTGCTTTCAGGAAGGACTGAAAAAGAACGTTTTATAAAATGACCTTTGTTTTTATGTTATAAGGTTGTCGAGCTAAAACTTCCTAAATCTTCCTGACAGGCATCAACAAACAGATTGCGGTCGATGCTGCATATTTTCCTGTTGTGAGTGCAGATGAGCCCAGGGCTGTGGGTCTTCCTCAGTATCCCCATGGCAACACAATGCTGTCCTGCCTTTCTTCAGGCTTCCTCTGTCCTCTCAGTGACACAGAGAACCACAGTGACTCAGCACTTCCCCAGCCAGGTAGGCCAGGAACAGAACCAACTCAGGAAACAGTCGCTACATCACAGACCTGTCAAGTTTTTCTCCACTTATTGCAGGTCATGGTATTTAGTATCATTGTGACAGGTAACGCTGATGCTACAATGTGGTTTTGTGTCTTGCAGAGGAGATCTTAGAGAGTGCCGGTGAGCTGGAGGATAAACATGTCGTGTGTGTTCTGGATCTTTGTCATCTGGGTGGAGAAGCAGTGGAAATCGTGATCAGCAAGATCTACAGAGTTTCAGATGTTTCTCTCAACTAACAGCTACACAAGAACAAGTGCAAGACTGTGGTACTTTACAATCATGACAGCAGAAAGTTATTTTGTCCAGAACCATAACCTTCACTTATTTTAGATCAAACTTCAATTTGATACTTGTAAATTCTCCTGTAACACATGTACAGTAAATGTCACAAGATTTTGTAGTCAGTGAAATATTTTTTTATCGATTGTTGGTCTGTAAAATACGAATGTATTTTTTTACCATCAGAATTCAGCTGTATATTTACTGTGACTCACAGATAAATAAATATAGTCAGTTTATTACAAACCTGTGTTTCACTTCTTTGACCAGGTAAAAGATTTTGATAAAGGAATTGTATTTTGATAGGCTGCCGTCAAATCAATGCCCAAAAATAAAATCACGTCAAAGATTTTCTAGGTACAAGGCTCTTCCTCAGACCTCACCACCATCTTACATAACCACAATGCATTTTTAACAAATCACAGGATCCATCAGTAATACAGAATATATACAAATCATAGTAGATTAAAAAAAAGTGTACAAAATTACATTGTTGTGCAATACAAGTTTTTAAATATTTGTTGGTTTCCCTTTGTATGCCAGTTCACATGGACTTTCATTCAATGTATCACTAGGATATCTGCTATGTGTATATATTCTGTATTGGTGATATATCATGTGATTTGTTAAAAATGGATGGTGGGTATTTAAGATGGCGACTGTGTTTTTTATCTGAAGTCTGAGGAAATGCCTTCGTGCTTGAACAGGAGCTTATTATGTGAGTTTTTCCGATTTTTCAAACATTTTGTGATGTCTTGTTTACTCAGAAAAATATTAATTTGACTATTATTTGAAGCCAATAATTAATGTCTAAATAACTTAACTTCTTTAATGAGATCCTCTGAGAAGTGTTGGAAATTATATTTAAGTGCTGGTATCATGTTTTTGAGTGTTTTGTCATAGACTGACATGATCCTG